CAGGGACCAGGAGAGGGAGCTTTACTCTGCAGCAGACAAAAGCTGTAATCTGGAAGGAGGAGAAACCACATGTTCTCCCAGAGCTCATGCTCCGTCACCGAGATAGCTGCTTCCTCAGTCCTTCTGCAAGCACGTGGTCGGATCACATGGTGGTGCTTTTTAGACGTCTAGGAGAGCAAAGTCTACTTTGAGCTCTTTGCTGAGGAAAGGCAAAACTGTGTGGGCAATGTAGAACAGAAGATGCATACATATCTGCTCACTTTTTCCATAAAGAAATGAGAAGCCTGACCAGAGGGACTTCGAGTATGTGGAACCAACAGATGTGCTCTTGGGCATAAAAATTAAGAAAGCTATGTTAATGTGTCAGCGCTTCTGTCATTAATGATAACATGATGACGTGTCACAAAAGCCATGCTGTAGTCAGGGTTGCCTGTGTAGCCAACTGGTTGTGACTTAAGTACACTTAGATCTGATTATAGAGACACATGTTAATTTAAATATGTAAATACTGTTTAAGGCAACTTTAATAACAGGATTCATCCTTCTTCCCCCCCCCCCTTCCTCCAAGGGGGGAAAAAAAAAACAGCTGGAAAAGCTGCTGCACTGCTCTGTACCTCTGCATTGCTAGACTTTCTACAGCAAAGCCACTTATGTCAGACTTCATCAGGCTTACTGTTAAGTCAAAACTCAACAGAAGCTGCTATGAGAATTCATAAGAGGGAGCATTATCCAATTTTCAACTCTTTTAATATTCTGATAGTTTTTACGTGGCTTACCAGCTTTTTTTGTATGTTGGGCTTCACATTGCCAATGCTGCTTAATCTTACTGATATTGCTCAATATTCTGACAGACTTAGTGATAGGTTCATACTACCATGTGGAATTTGAAGCCATTTTCCAGAGTTTTCTCCTGATTTCCCTTACCCTGCAGCCTGAAATCTGATGTGACCCTCCCAGGGCAAGTGACTTTGGTTTCCTTGATAATCAAGCAATGTTCCTTTCCCTTCCTTATTGATTGCAGTGCTCCTCCAGGAGTTAATTGTACAGAAAATAGTCTTAAGCTATTAATAATTTTTGGACAGTAAGAAGGTGGAAAACTCTGGTGTACTTGAGCAAAGTTACTTTGCAGTAGAATTCAAGGCTGTTGTTTTCAGTTCGAGAAAGCCATAGTATAAGGCATGCACTACTTTTTTTTGACCCTAAGTATAGCCCCTTATGTAGCGCTGTAGCAAGATTTGATTGGTGCACATTCAGAAACTTAATTTCTTTTCTGTTTATTAACACTTGCAGAGCTGTTGCGCAGCCACTGGTACCTGTATTGGGGAAACATAGCATACAAGCAAGAACCTTACAGCCTCAGTGGCGAAAATTTTTTCATGTCAGAGACCGAGAACTCTTGCAGTCGTTTATGTCATCCCGTCTTCTCCAGACAGAAGATACCAAAAAACTGCAATCAAAGATCTCTTCATCTTATTGATAAAGCTACTAATAAGGCAAAATGTCTGTCAACGTCAACCGCAGTGTTTCAGATCAGTTCTATCGCTACAAAATGCCCCGTCTGATTGCCAAGGTAACTTCCAGAGCATGGGTGGCACGTGGGTTGTGCCACACGCCACCTGCTCTCGGGAAGGGAGGAGGGGGGTGAGGCAGCGATGTTCAGCCAGATGGAGGATGAGGAGGATGTCTCGTCCTTGCTGTCCAGACTGGGCGCATACTAGCTGTTCTAAGGAGACATACTTTGGTGTGAAGTGGGAACATGTGCAGGCTTTGACTGCTGCAGTTACTTAAAACACTTCTTTGTTTACCCCTTTAGGTGGAGGGCAAAGGAAATGGAATAAAGACTGTTATAGTCAACATGGTTGACGTTGCAAAGGCGCTTAATCGGCCTCCAACGTGTAAGTAGCCTGGAGTGACACAGCACTTTTTTTTTTTCTTAACGCTTTGGTGTTTAATGCTAATCAAGCATTAATGCCATTTTTCCAAGATTTGTAAGAAAAATGTGATCATCTTGGGATGAAATAATGAACAGAAAAAAACAATGGTGTATTTACTTGCTTGTAAAAATAAGAGTGAAGGTACGAGGGCAGTGTACCTTACGTTTTCTTTACAGATCCTACCAAATTTTTTGGTTGTGAGCTGGGAGCACAGACCCAGTTTGATGTTAAGAATGACCGTTACATTGTCAATGGATCTCATGAGGCGAATAAGCTGCAAGACATGTTGGATGGATTCATTAAAAAATTTGTTCTCTGTCCTGAGTGTGAGAATCCTGAAACTGATCTGGTGAGTGCACTCCATCTGTACTACAAATGCGCAATGGAAACCCTTCATTAGATGTTCATGGAAGTGCTGCAAATTTAATAGCTGACATGGGTATTTATGAAGAGAAAATCCAGTACAGAAAGACGCACAAACCCTTTGGGAAGGTTTTAAATTTATAACAATTCATAACTTCAGAGCTAAACTGCTACTCCTAAACTTGCTTTGTTGAGGGTGATATGAATTATTTCAGCATCTGGTGTAATCGTGTGGAGATGATAATGTAGGTGTTTGGTTTAGGCTTTAATGCATAATTGTTCTGTAAACAATATGTTAACAGGAGGCTGTTTGTTTTCACAGCATGTCAATCCTAAGAAACAAACTATAGGTAACTCTTGCAAAGCCTGTGGCTATCGAGGCATGCTTGACACAAACCATAAGCTCTGCACGTTCATTCTCAAAAACCCACCTGGTAAGTGTTTCCTTGTTTGATGGGGTTAAAGAGGACATCTTCAGTGTAAGTGTTGTTAATGAAGTGGAAAAACTAATAGCTCGCATCTGACTAACATGTAAGAAGGCTCCAGCATACTTTTAGAGTATGTTTGTGGGTCAGGATGAGGTGGCCATGTTCATAGTTTCAGTATGAGCTTTATTTGTGAGGAGCTGGATTTGCCTGCGTAGATCAAAGCTGAGAAGGTGAGAGAGTCGGCAGCAGCTCATTGCAGCTTTGCCTTTAAGTTGGCATGAAGTAGAAAGGTAGGAAGTAAAAGCAGTATAGTAATTAGACTGTAATGTACTTGTTCTGTGCAAGCAACACTCTGTAGTAAGCATCTAGTTGCCTGCTGCAATTTATGCTTGCTAGAATAGAAAAGTCTAACCTATTCCAGGGGTCTCTGCTTTGTGAGTTCACCTGTTATATGGACTTTGACAACCGTAGGCCTTCGTGAGAAAGACTTTCATTGGAAATGGGTTTCCCCAGCAGATTCATAATCTTCCCTGAATGTATCTGGGGATGGGGACTAGGCATAACTTGCTGTCAAGGCATCCAGACCCACTGGGGGATTTGGCGGAGGTGCAGTAGTGCAGAGGCTTCAGTTTTCTCTAGCTTATAGGAATACAATGTTAAAATTCATTTGCAGAAAGTGGTGACACTGGTACAGGAAAGAAAGAAAAGGAGAAGAAGAACAGAAAAGGCAAGGACAAAGAGAATGGTTCTGTGTCCAGCAGTGAGACACTTCCACCCCCACCACCAGAGGAGATTACTCCTCCACAGGTTGTGGTAAGTAGAAGGGAGAGCAGGGAGATAAGGGTGTGTGGTGTCTTGCTGAAATTTAAAACTTCTGCATTGCTGGCAAACCCTCAGAAGTCAGCATTGCACCAGGAGTTGTTGCTGTATCCAGAACTTTACTGCTGGAGTAGAAGCATCCCTGTGTCTCCTGTAGCAGCTCTGTCAACTCCTCAGTGACAGTGTTTGTGCTCCTTGCCAAGTGAAAGCAGCATACCCATCACAGTCCAGGTCCCTGAAAAAGGGGCATCTCATGAGTGTACTAGAGTGCAGCCAAACTGAAGGGTTCTTTGAAGTGTGCAGTTTTACCAAACCCAAGTTTAGCTTCTCCTACTTTCCTACATTACCCTTTATCCGTCATCTCTGCCTTCCAAATTCTAATGTAACCCTTTCATTGGGGAAAAAAATCCAAAGCACCTGTTTGGACTTGAGAGCATTTTTGTGTACCTAGAAACAACACTCACCTATTGCTAAGTTTGTAGCATAGTATGAACTGTTGTTTTGGTCTTGTTTTTTTAGGAGGAGGAGGATGATGACGACTGGGGTGAAGACACAACAGAAGAAGCCCAGAGGCGTAGGATGGATGAAATCAGTGACCATGCGAAAAACCTCACGCTAAGTGAAGACCTGGAAAGAACTGTGGAGGAGAGAGTTAACATACTGTTTGATTTTGTGAAGGTGAATATTCTCTGGTGATTACCTTGGTAGCCACTCTGTTGTAACTATTTGATGTTGATAAGGAGACTAAGGCAAGCTGCTTAAGCTTCTGCCAGAGTACTGGTCCCACCAGTGTTGGGAGAGGAATTGGTGCAATCATTGGTAGAGATCTCAGTAGCTCTAAAATGTATCTGATCCTGTCCTTGTAGAAAAAGAAGGAAGAAGGTGTCATTGATACTTCTGACAAAGACATTGTAGCAGAAGCAGAGAGGCTGGATGTGAAGGCCATGGGCCCGCTGGTTCTCACTGAAGTCCTGTTTGACGAAAAGATTCGCGAACAGATCCCGAAGTACAGACGTCACTTCCTTCGTGTAAGCAGCCTCCTACACCCACTGTAATAACTGCTGGGTTGCCTTTGACTCGTTTCTGGACTGCTTGGTGCCATAGGGGAGGAAGGCTTTCTGTAGTTTTTGGGTCTTAAACCACCCCTTGGCTAGAGAAATGTGGGGGAGGAATAGTATGAGCTGTTGTAAATCTTGCTATCTCATTAAGTTGAGAGCAGAATCGGTAGCTTTTCCTGGAGAGGAGAAAACCTAATGTAGTTGCTTTTCCTTTTACAATTTTAGTTCTGCCACAACAACAAGAAAGCTCAGAGATACCTTCTTCATGGCTTCGAGTGTGTGGTAGCCATGCACCAGTCTCAGCTTATTTCTAAAATACCACATATTTTGAAGGAAATGTATGATGCAGATCTCCTGGAAGAAGAAGTCATCCTTGGCTGGGCAGAAAAGGTGAGAGGTAGTATTTCATGTGCTGTGCCAGCTAAGTATCTGTAGTGCCCTGCATCTGGTTTCTCCATGCTGGCTTAGATCTGTGTGCAGATGTCTTTAAACAACTAGTCTGAGGTCAGTTACTGTCTGGGATAAATCTCACTTCAAAACAAGGCTGTTCAGTGGGGTGAGGTTAGAATTCCAAGTTAGGCTCGTGCTGTATTTGGGGATGCTCTGATGTAGCTTTCTTCAGTGTTGAAGCAGAGTCTGTACTTCTGTCTTTCAGGCCTCAAAGAAATATGTTTCAAAGGACCTTGCCAAAGAAATCCGTGTCAGAGCAGAACCATTTATTAAATGGCTAAAGGAAGCTGAAGAAGAATCTTCCGGTAATGAAGAAGAGGATGAAGATGAAAACATAGAGGTAGGAAAGGTTCACTTGCTGCAGACAACTCCAGGGTTGTGCAGCTCCTGCACCCACTGGGAACGAGAGGAACACTGTTTCTGAGGCTTGCTCAGAGTCTGCTACGGTCACTTGTCTACCTAAGATCACCTTTGTAGTGGTGCAAGTGTGGCTTAATAGCCAGACTGCTGTGGAGTGGTATGAACAGTCATGCACAGTCAGTGGACGTGTTTGTTAGAAGTGGTGATTGAACAATAAATAACCATTCTGCCCATGGTTTAGGCCTAGGTAAAATCTTTCACCTACTTGCCAGCTGACTGTGGCTGGGATATTTTTTTTGCATGTGGGGTTTTTTTGTCCTCTCAGTAGTACCTACTCTTGTCCTGGGTAGGGGACCTCTAGTCTGTTTAATGTTGCTGGGTGCTGTAGTAAGAGTGTCCTGTCTCCACAGGTTGTGTACTCTACAACTGCCAGTGTACCTAAAGTTGAAACTGTGAAGCCTGCAAACAGTAAAGATGATGATATTGATATTGATGCCATTTAAAGTGATGCAACACAGCTTCCAGCATAATAATGCAAACTTCTCCGTTTTCTGCCAGAAGTGTGACTTGTACGTGCACAAGCTGAAATGGCTTAACATCCTGCTACTCTTTGTACTCTAAAATGTATCTTTTACTGTGACTGGTCTTGTGTAACTAAGCCTAATACCAAGGAGTCAGCACGTCAATGAACTGATCTAGTTTGCAACTGGCATGTTCCATTTTGTTTTCTAACTTGTGTTGGACACATACTTGGAGCACATTTATACAGCTGTGGAAATAAAGGATTTGGGTTTGGCCAATCTTCACATGTGACTGAATTTGCTTCTTTCTTTTCCAAGTAAGTCTGTACACAACTTGGTGAAACAGTCTGAGACAAGATGGCAAAATTCTCTTAAATGAGACAAGAAATAAAAATAGCCTTTGCTCAGAGGCTGTTGCAACCGCAGAGGCCTGAAACCTGGGCATGAAGCAGATGTTGGGTAATCTACAGTGTCCAGAAGCCACTCCTTAAATAAGAAGGCCATTTGGAACCTTGAAGGTTTTTTTTAACAAACTTCCCTGGGTGTTAACTCATGTAAGTTGGGGGTGGTTTGGGGTTTTATGAAGTTGGGTTTGTTTTTCCCAAGGTTTGGAACAGCTCTAGTAGAGAGAGGTTTTAGAGCTTGGACTAGAGCAGAGGGAGCTGATACCTCTGTAGTTGCCGTGGGCATCAGAGGAAATGGGCACCCTGGCACCGCCGGGCTGCAGAGGGGGCGGGCACCCTCCTGGTGCCTCCACACAGCTCTGGAAGGGAGTTCCGTAGGTTCCAAGTGCCAGTGCCCAGGTAACCCATGCCTTTAGAAGTGGAGTACGAAAAAGAAACTGCTTTTGAGGAAAACCAGTGTGATCTGGAGAGCAGCGGGTTTTGACCTAGGAGTGTGGGGCAGGGCAGGGGTGGGGGGAGGCTTGTTAGTGTGTGGGTTTTTTTTTTTTTTTTCACAGCCTTTTCATCTAGAAAATCAAGAGGGGCAAGAGTGACAGTGGGTTTGGTGGGGGTTTTTTAGTGTGAGATAAGTATAGTTTTGAAAAATTGTGGCTCCAGTGTACTAGAGCTGCTTTTCCAAACCAGTGTTCTAGTAGAAAGCTTGGATTGGGGAACTTGGATAAAGGGGAAGGTTTTGTTCGCTGGTTACAATAGGGGTGATGAGCTGCAGGTTTTCCACCCCAAAACAGTGGGGTGTGTTTGTGAACTTACTGTTGTGTTGCAGGTAGCCCTGCAAAACGTCATCACTTGGCACGAGCAGGTGTGGCAAGAAGTGTTAAATGTGAAGCCATGAAGGATTTGAAAGTGGTCTTTTATTGCAGCAGTATAAAAACATGCTTTTTAGTTTAAATACAGGCTTATTCCTGGCTTCTTTCTCTGAAAGAAAATCTGTTCTTTCTGTTTAAACTAGGCTTGTATTGTAAAAATAATTTTTATGCGTGTTGGGGACCTGGAAGATGAATCTTTAATCAGCATGCGACCTTTACAGAAGATAGCTCTTCATCCTGGTGCAAGCACACCCCTCCCTTGTGTGCTTGCTGTGCACACACCCTCACAGGCGTTTGCCTGCCAGGCAGATCCTCAGATAAAATCCCAGCACAATAGTGTTGGCTGATTTTTTTTTTTTTTTTTGCCTGGTGCTGCTGTAGAGAGCTTTATGGGAGGTTCTTGGTTCATGTGGGCAGCAATTAAGAGACCAGAACCTCTGGAACTTTGGAACTTTTTTCGAGTAGAAAGGTGAGACTTAGCACTGGTGACAGAAGCTTGGGAGGGTTAAGACCATGTCTGGTTGGAAGCCAGGTTTCAGCCCTGGGATCCCTGCTTGCTGGCGTGAACAGGTTGGGCATTAGCAATACCCAGAAACTGGAATTCACCAGTACCTCCCAGTCATGCTGGTGGTGTGGATATAGAACTTCTCAAGTCGTACCTCCCTGGTAGTCATCTGTGACAGTGGGAGGTGGGTACTTACACATTGGGCAAGTTCTTCTGGGTTGGGTTTTGAGTCTGGTGTTCTGAGCAGAATTCCTGCTTGCAGAGGGAGTAAGGAGAACTTGCCCTTTCCCAGGAGCATGTTACAGTGCTGTGAAATGCACCAGACAGTTTCTGGAGCATAGGCAGGACCCTCCTGATTCTCTGAGCCTGGTTCGTAGCTAGTGCAGGTCAGCACAGTTCACTGGAACTATCAGTTGCTCTGTGACGATGGTCTGCAGCTTTGCAGACCCAGGTTGGTGCCATCTCTAGGAGGTGACCACAAAGGTTGCTGCCTGAAGCATGTGTTGCATGGTGTTGGCTGCTACCACCCCTGACACCAGTGAAGTTTCATTTAGGGTGTAGTTAGTCTCATTTTAGAGCAGACTTGATTGTACTTGCAGGCTGCCACCAAAAGGAATAATCTCTTTTTTTCTGCTCCAAGACCTAGTGACTAGCAATACAGACCCGTTCCTTCACTAGGGAAACTAGGCAATCCAACCCCCCCAAAAAAACAACACTGCCAGTTTTCTGTAGGATCCATGAACTGATAATGGCATTGGAAAGCTCTATGCTGACAGAGTTTGGGTGAACGTGGTGGGACTGTGGATGCAGTGAGTGTTCTTGTGTTTATTAACAGCCACCAGGGCAATTGGATTCAGTGTATCATGAGGTGGTACCCAGTGCTTCAGGCTTCTAGATGCCCTGAGACCACCTCTACCTATGGAATTCCTGGTGCCGAGTTAGACTTCTCACCCTATTTTCATGTGTGCATTGCTGTTTCCATCTCAGATCATTAACAGAGGATTCCAGCAGCCAATAAAAACAAATGTTCATCTTGTGAGCATTTCTTTAGGCAAGGAAGAAGTCTGACTTGAAGTTTCCTGAGTCTTTGAATTTATGGCTGCTGCTATCTGATTAACAAGTACACCTTCAAAAGGCAGAGTGGTGTTTAGATACAATCTGCTCCAAGCTTCAAAGAGACTCCTGGCACCTGGAAAGGAAACAGTAAGCCTTGGGTGATTTCCATCCCTTCATACCATCCAGTCTCCGTGTTTCCAAACCTCCGTGTGAGCACTGCGCTGTGGCAGGTGGCAGGTCGAGGGGCAGGTCCCTTAGCCTTGGCTTCACAAACCTGCCTGCCCTCCAGAGCTGTACTGCAGCCTGGCAGCCTTCGGCAGTGGCTTCGCTTCATCCAGCACAACAGGGAAGCTGCTCAGCTGACAGCTTGGCTTGGGGCAGCATCATGAGCAGATGAAAGGACCTCAGCAGCTTCAGCTGGGGTTTGAAATCCTCGTTGTTGTGCGTATAAGAAGTAAAGTCACCTGGTTTTACTTTCATCAATAAGAGCCTAAAAATGGTCATTAGAGGCCAGGGCCTTGCTCTGCTGGACATGATGGCCATATATCGAAGGATGCTTTTTGCTCCTAAGAGTGAGCAGCTCAGGCTTGTAACAAGGTGGTGACTGGAGATAGCAGAGAAGTGATGTGAAGGGATTGCAGCAAGCACAGTAACATGATGAGTGCTCTCTTTGCATTGTTGTGGTCTAGCAGCTGCCTCAGCTGGTGTAACCACAGTGGGATGCTCCCAAAGAGGTCAGGTTTTTAAACAGGGTGCAGTTTGCTCTGCAGGGTCGCTTGCATGAGGCATCACCGCGAGGCTATCACTCCTCCCCACAAAGACCTTCCTTGTTCTTTGGGTTGAGGTGCTCGCTGGACGATGCCAATCTCCACCCAAGTCAAACAGCTTGGTTATTTGTTGCTGGCCAGACGTACCACAGACTTAAAAGAGCTGATGTACAGTTCTAAAAAATAATGCTTAGTATGTGGGTGTATTCTAGTTGTGCAAGTTGTTGATGTCTGAGAAGAAGAGTTATCACTCAGAAGTAGTTAATGTAGTGATCTGTAACAAAACTGTCCTCTGATTTGAGGGCTCCTACAGGGTAGTAATAGAGATTGCAACAGTTCTGGGCTCCCAGTGAAACCAGCGAACGGAAATGGCAAGGAGAGATGGAACAGAAGTAGCTGACCCAGCAATTAGTGTTCCAAACTGTGGCAGCTATTTTCTTCTCCAACTAATTACTCCAAAAGAGCCTTGAAGGGCAGTTGCTGAAGGTTGACTCCTTGGCATTCGGTAATACCACTGAACCGTGAAGATGTGAAACAGAAAACTCAGAAGCAGAGACAATAAAATGCAGCCTGAAAACAATGTTCTTTAAAGTCTTATCTGGGAAACACTGTTTGCACGCCTCAATTTTGGCTGCAGTCGTACAAAGCTGTTTGAGCCATTGGGATCACTTACCTGCTTGCCAGCCTGCTGGCATTGTCTGTGTTTTTAATTTTGAAGACCATCATCTTGCTGCCATGGACGTGTGAGTTTGTCTCCAGACCGGGAGTTGGTGAGGAGCTGTTCTGGGGCTGCTGAGCATCTTTCCCAGGACATCCCTTCCTTACCTGGTATGAACCAGCACCAGGGTATCTCCACAGCTTCCTTAGATCTGTTCCAGTTGACATCTATCAAGGCCACAGCCCCAACACTTGGGTGCTGCTTTTAATTTGGTAAAATTCTGCAATTCCTTAATGTTTTTCAGAGGAAAAAGAAAAAAAAAATCTTTGGTATCTTGGGTTAGGAAGCCAAGAAACAGCTGTTCATTATCTGTAAAACTGAGAGAACTGTTCTTCCTGTTGTGATGAGTGTCAGGGATATCCAATAAATGTTAAACCATCATTTCCAGACATCAATTTTTTTACTTGCATGAGCTTCAAAGTTGGTGCTTACTAAATAGCTATGGCCCTTAGTAATTTAGCTTCAGCAAAAGCTGCATCCTGGGTTTCTGTGAATGTGATGCCATAAGCTTCCAGTGATGGCCACACAAATATGTTGTGTTTGTCATATGGGGCAGGTCCAGGGTGAAGCCAGGTGAGCAAGGCAAGGCATGGACCAGCAAGGCCCACGGCTGGGCACAAGTGTGCCCGTGTGGGTACACAGGCTTTACAAGGGCCCCAGACTGGGCTCCTCCCAGCTCCTTCCCCCACTGCTCACTCAGCTCCAGTGTTGCTTGATTTGGCTGCACCATGCTGGAGCTGCCCTTGAACACAGGGAGCCAGGCACCTGCAAGGAGAGGGAAAAGCTTGTGGAGCGTGGTCCTGCTCCCAGACCCTGATATTTCTGGAGCTAGAGAGTGGTGGTTTTTCCACTGCAAATTTTATCTCATTATTGTGGTGTTAGATGAATTTTCTGCACAGGATTTTCTTTCTCAAGGAGGGAAGAGGTGATGCAAAGCAGAGCTCTGGTCTGAGCATAGGGTCGTAGACA